TCCAATCCAAGCACTGTCCACGTAGAGTCTATAAACGCGCGAAGATGCAGAGGAAAAAGACTGCATGATATAGGTGACACTCTCCAATCCACGCACTGTCCACGTACAGATTTTTCCAAATGTGAAAAACTTGCGAGGAGATCCGAGAGGGGGTCAAAATTGGCAAATGTTAAGGATCTCAAAGATCCTGAGACTAAACACGCGACTGTGGCACATTGCTAAACGCGCAAGACTGCATAATATAGGTGACAATCTCCAATCCACTCACTGTCCACTTTGAGATTTTTTCACGCGCGAAAATCTCCCAAGGAGATCCCAGAGAGGGACAAAACAGGCACCTGTTTAGGTTCTCAAACATCCTGACACCGAAAACGGGACTGTGGTACATCGTTAAAGACGTAAGGATACAAAGGAACAAGACTACATGATACTGATAACAATCTGTAGTCCACGCACTGTCCTCGTAGAGATTTTTTTCACGCGTGAGAAACACCCGAGGTGATTCAAGAGAAAGCCCAACCTGTCACCTCTTAAGTATCTCAAAGATCCCGAGAACAATAACAAGACTGTGCCACATCTCTTAACGCGCGAGGATGCAAAGAAACAGGACTGCATGACGTAGGTGAAAATCTCTAACCTACGCACTGTCCACGTAGAGATTTTCTTACTCGTGAAAAACGCGCAAGGAAATCGGAAGGAGGACCAAAACTGTCACTTGTCAAGGATCCCAAAAATCCCGGGACCGAAAACGCGAATGTGGCACACCTCTAAACGCTCAAGGATACAAACAAACAAAACTGCATCATATAGGTGACAATCTCCAATTCACGCATTGTCCAAATAGAGATTTTCCACGCGTGGAAAACGTGAGAGGTGGTCACGAGGTAGGGTCAAAACTGTCACCTGTTAAGGATCTCAAAAATAACGAGAAAAAAAAAAACACGACTGTGGCACATCTCTAAATGCGCGAGGATACAAAGGAACAAGACTGCATAATAGAGATAACAATCTCTATTCCACGCACTGTCCACGTGGAGATTTTTCCACTTGTAAAAAACGCGCGAGGAGATTCGAGGAAGGGCGAAAACTGTAAGTTGCTAAAGATCTCAAATGTTCCAAGGCAAAACAACTAGACTGTGCGACATCTCTACACGCACGAGGATGCAAAGGAACAAGACTGCATGACATAGGTGACCACGCACTGTCCACGTAGAGATTTCTCAACGCGTGAAAAACGCGCGAAGAGATTCAAGAGAGGGCCGAAACTGGCACATGTTAAAAATCTCAAAGATCCTGTTACCGAAAACGCGACTGTGACACATTGCTAAACACACGAGGATGCAAAGGACCAACACTACATGAAAGAGGTAACAATCTCCAGTCTACGCACTGTCCACGTAAAGATTTTTCCACCGGTGAAAAACACACGAGAACATCCCAGGGAGGGCCAAAACTGTCACCTGCTAAAAATCTCAAAGATCCCGAAACCAAAAACGCGACTGTGACACATTGCTAAACATGCGAGGATCCAAAGTAACAAGACTACATGGCAGAGATAACAATCTCCAGTCCACGCAGTGTCCACGTTGAGGTTTTTTCACGCGTGAGAAACACGCGAGGGGATTTAAGAGAGGGCCAAAACTGTCACCTGTTAAGGATCTTAAAGATCCCGAGCCCAATGAAGCCAATGTGGCACATCTCTAAACGCGTAAGGAAGCAAACAAACAAGACTTCATAATATAGGTGACAATCTCCAATCCACGCACTGTCTACTTTTACATTTTTCCACGCGTGAACAACGAGCGAGAGAGAACCCTGAGAGGGCCAAAACTGGCATCTGTTAAGGATCTCCAAGAACTTGACACCAGAAACGCGACTGTACCACATCTCTAGACGCGCGAATATCCAAAAGAATAAGACTGCATGATATAGGTGACAATCTCCAATCCACGCTTTCTGAACGCGTAAAAACCGCGCTAGGAGATGCGAGAGAGGGCCGAAACTGGCACCTGTTACGGATCACTGTCCACGTAGAGACTTTTCCAGGCGTGAAAAACGAGCCAAAAAATCCGAAGGAGGGCCAAAGCTGTCCTTTGCTAAGGATCTCAAAGACCCTGAGACAGAAAACGCGACTGTGGCACATTTCTAAACGCGAGAGAATGCAAAGGAACAAGACTGCATGATATAAGTGACAATCTCCAATCCACGCACTGTCTACTTTAAGATTTTTCCACGCGTGAAAAACGCGGGAGAGAGAACCCAGAGAGGGCCAAAACTGGCACCTGTTAAGGATCTCCAAGATCTTGGCACCAAAAAAGCGACTGTTCCACTTCTCTAAACGCGCGAGGATCTAAAAGAACAAGACTGCATGATGGAGGTAACAATCTCCAGTCCACGCACTGTCTACGTAGAGATTTTTGCCACGCGTAAAAAACGCGCGAGGAGATCCGAGGGAGAGCCAAAACTGTCACTTGCTAAGGATCTCAAAAATTCCAAGACCAAAAACGCGACTGTGCCACATCTCTAAACGCGCGAGGATGCAAAGGAACAAGAATACATACTGTAGATGACAATATCCAATCCACGCACTGTCCACGTAGAGATTTTTCCACACGTGAAAAACGCTCGAGGAGATCTGAGGGTGGGCCAAAACTTTCACTGCTAAGGATCTCAAAGATCCCAAGACCCAAAAACGCGACTCTGCCACATCTTTAAACGCTTAAGAATGCAAAGCATCAAGACTGAATGGTATAGGATCTCAACGATTCCGAGAGTAATAACGCGACTGTGCCACACCTCTAAACGCACAAGAATGTAAAGGAACAAGACTGCATGATATAGGTGACAATCTGCCACGAACTGTCCACGTAGTGATTTTTCCACGCATGAAAAATGCGGAAGGAGATCAAAGAGAGGGCCAAAACTGGCACCTGTTAATGGTCTCACGGATCCTGACACCAAACACGCGACTTTGGCACATCGCTAAAAACGCGAGGATGCAAAGGAACAAGACTGTATAATATAGGTGACAAACTTTAATCCACCCACTGTCCACTTTATGATTTTTCAACCCGTTAAAAACGCGCGAGGAGATCCCAAGGAGGTCCAAAACTGTCAATCGCTAAGGATCTCAAAGATTCCGAGAAAAAAAACGCCACTGTGCCACATCTCTAAACGCGCGAGGATGCAAAAAAACAAGACTGCATAATATAGGTGACAATCTCCAATCCACGCACTGTCCACGTAAAGATTTTTCCACGCGGGAAAAACGCGCGAGGAGATCCGAAAGAGGGCCAAAACTGTCACTTGCTAAGGATCTCAAAGATCACGAGACCGAAAACGCGACTGTGCCACATCTATAAAAGCGCGAGGATGCAAAGGAACAAGACTGCATGATATAGGTGATATCTCCAATCCACGCACTGTCCTCGTAAAGAGTTTTCAATGCTTGAAAAACGCGCGAGGAGATCCGAGACAGGGCCAAAACTGGCACCTGTTAAGGATCTCAAATATCCAGACACCCAAAACGCGACTGTGGCACATCGCTAAACACGCGAGAATGGAATGGAACAAGACTACATGATAGAGGAAACAATTTCCAGTCCAGGCACTTTCCACGTAGATTTTCCACGCGTGATAAACCCGCGAGGAGATGCGAGGGAGGGCCAAAACTGTCACCTGCTAAGGATCTAGAAGATCCCGAGACCAAAAACGCGACTGTGACACATCTCCAAAGGCGCAAGGCTGCAAAGGAACAAGACTGCATGATATAGGTGAAAATCTCCAATCCACGCACTGTCCACGTAGAGATTTTTGTATTCGTGAAAAACGTGCGAGATGATTCGAGGGAGGACGAAAACTGTCACCTGCTAAGGATCTCAAAGATCCCGAGACCGAAAACGCGACTGTGGGATATCTCTAAACCCGCGAGGATGCAAAGGAACAAGACTGCATGATGTAGGTGACAATTTCCAATCCTGGCATAGAGGACTTATGGGATTTTTAATGGAAGAATGGATGAGAGCACAAGAAATAAATAGGATGGGACGAAACGATGAGATAGGGATAAGATAGTGGTCTTAGGGCTCTTTACTCATTTCAACTTAAGGGACGTGAACCCATCGCTGCAGTGTCTTATGTAGCGTATCGATCTACAGCCTTCTTCCGAATTATCTCGTTTGGGCAAATCCACATTATATCCATCCTTTTCCACGTTAACGAGATTTTCTGAAGGGACTACGGAAGTCTTTCATGACGAAATTCATTGTCAATAACAGGACAAACGCATGAAAACCCGACGTCAATTTGTTTTTCACAATAACAAAGTTTCGAATTGTCTGCTCTCGCTGGTTCACGCGTCGTATTAAAATTAATTCATGTGTCCGCTTATTGACAATGAAAATTAGCCAATGAGCGCGCGAGTCTGCTATCGCCTCGTGGATCCACTGCTACTTTGACAATGTTATGACGAAATTCATGATCAATAACAGGACAGAGGCATGAAAAACTGACGTCAATTTGTTAATTTTACGATAACAAATTGTCAAATTGTCCGCTCTCGCTCGTTG